CCCCCCCCCCCCCGGGACCATTAATTAGGTTTAGTTGATCTGGGGACTGACCTCAACCAAACTTTTTAACCTGGTCAGTCAAGCAGAAAATGTAGGTCAGAAGTATCGCGCAGTACTTGATAAACATCCTTAGATACATGAGCCATGCAAGTTTAGTTGATGTAGGACAATTGCAAGTAGTTACTTTGTAAGTGACCTAAACCTATCTTCTATTGTTCAAGCGAAAAATGTAGGCCAGAAGCAGCATCCGAAGCATTGCATCTATAGATACATATATATAAGCCATCCAAGTTTATTTGATGTGGACTGATTGATAAATTGGAAACTGAGCTTAACCATTCTTCTGAACTTTAGTACAAAAACTGATGGACGGAAACCGCCAATCTATATAAAGCCCTGATTTCGTTGCAATCCAGCTAATAACTAATCTATTTAAGAAAATCTGCAGGCGGTCCCACATTAGTGCCTCTAAAGTTAACAGGAGATGACTCGTAACATGTATAAAGTCACATTAGTGCTACTACTTGCATAAAGAATATTGTAACAAATATATGTTGTAACAGAAGTATGATTGCCCCCGATCCCGCGAGTGCTGCAGTATTATATATATGATGTATGTGACGAGATGTCTCATACAGATCAAAATTTGACGAGGCTCAAAATGATAATCTTGTATTGATACATTAAATATGAGGACAAACAATGCATACTGTTGATCGCGTATATAATGGCAACTATTTACAAAAGACGAGAGAGGGTACAGAGACGGGGAAGATATTATAGGGGCAAAGTTTGACGGTAAAACAAAGATGGCGTATATAGAAGAAGCTTTATTTACCGTCGTATATGGCATAACATTGAAACATTAGCTCTGTGGAGCTATTTTTACGACAAACATAGGTATAAAAACAATAACAAAGTAGAAAGCATGCTAGTAGAAAAAAGTAGGATTATGCAGTAAAAACTATATTCATATTACATGAAAACAATATAAGAAATATATGCTAAAATATTTTGAAAACAATAAGTTTCTTGACTAGCGTTAACTGGTTAACCGAACAACGATAAAGGGGTTGTACTATACCGGGAAAACTGACACGTGAATATGCTGAAGCTGGAAAAATGACACGACGATTCGTCCCAAAACGATATTTAGAATATGGCGTAGAAAGGTAAATATGTAGTAAACCCATGTTTTTGGAAAAAATGTCTCATCAAAATTTGGTGAAAATGAGAAAAATATAGTATTTTAAGTTATTGACGAAATGACACTCCGAGATGCAGCCTTTTCGTCCACTTAATCTCGTCTCATAAACTGTGCGCGTGCGAGTCAGCAGACCAATATCAGTGAACCAGTTTGTCAACTACCTATGTACGGAAGTCAGTGTTCTGTCGGCGTGAGGGAAGTTGGCTTCCCTCGGGGGGTGGTTAGGAGTCGTGTATTCATCCTATCCTTATCTTGTGATGTTATTTAATTTGGAGACGACCCCTTGGTTCGAAATTGTTTGTCACGCCAGATGATGCTGTATTGGTATCGTTGAGGGGGTTCAAAATTGGCCAATATGGCTTATGTTATATATATATACATACAAAATAAATATTTTTTGTATATTTTGAAAGTGCATTTATTGCATATATTCCTGTTCTTATAGGGAGGTATATATATACTATATTTGTTATGTACCTCGGGTTATATAAGTATTTGAGAATCAAATATAATAAAATAAAAGATAAAAAATGGTTTTTAGGAAGAGGGTTTTGTGGGGGATCTATAATTTGCTGGGCTTATAATATATGAATCTTGTTTTTCTATTAAAAGATAGGGAGGTCACTGATCGTATCATATGATGATGTCTTGTATGGCGTCGGCCTAGGAGGAGGGCGTATCATATCCAAATTTGGGACCTTATTTCTTCTCTCCTTTCTAAATAATTTTCTTCTTCCTAATGTCACCCTTGACAATGCCTCACTTTTGGCCATTTGTTGAGCGTTCGCCCCTGTGAGGAAGGCTTTGGGTTCTGTCCCCTGGCCGAGACATACCAAAGTCTTTAAAAATGGTAATTTATACTCCTGCTTAACGCTCAGCAAATTAGGAGTGGGACGACTGGTTCGCCCGTTGTCAGTATCATGTGACCGGGTGGGGCGTCCTGCTGGGTGTCTTCGGCAGTATGTTTCAGTGAGGTAGCACTATAAAGTCGGCATCAGTTCCGCGCTATCACAAGGAGACAAACACGAACATATCGCAGCCTCCCAAAATACAC